TCAACCAACATCAGGGAGGATCAGTACCGTACAACAGGTATGCTTCACTGAGAATAAAATTTAGCTATTGTTTTTTAAGCTAAGTAATGAACTGCAAAAAACTTGTACTGCGAGATTCCTAAGGGAAGCAATAAAAGTTGAGAAAGCTACCAAGTATAGCAGATTAAGCCTCATTTACTTTGAGGTGTAGGAAAACGCTTCGAAAGAATTGAAGATAGTGATGACGAACGGACCGGGTATTTCCCAATTTTTTCCGGCCCATACTCATTTGCCAAAGGGTCTTTGTTTGCTGTATGGCCAGTCTAAAAATTTCTGATCCATATTACTCTTAAAAAAAACACTGCCCACCATAGTCAGCCTAAAAACTTCTGAAAATCTAGGAAAATGTACGATAAAAAAAAGGAAGCCGCTTTCCTGGCTTCGCAGTTTTGCGGCATAGTCATATTACGAAGTCGTGTATCCATCTAGTTAATTGTTCGATTTTGCTGTATTTCATCCGCTTTCATTGCAGTTAGAAGCTGTGGAACGTGTGCTTGATGCATTTGGTGCAGCTCGGACATTGAAGAACTCGGGGGCAACTCGAACTGCCTACTACGTGGAGTTCATGTATCGCCGGTATCGGTTTTTCCATTGCTTAATCATTTTTTTTTAGTTAAGCCTTTTACCATTTTTAATAATTAGGCTACGAAAAGAGCCCTGAACCCTACTGCTATAGCGCTGCGCAGCAAAAACGCGTAATAAAAACGAGGGATGCGGAGAAGTGTACGTACGTGTAACATCTGCTACTCCATATAACAGCTAGGTGGAATCCGTGTCCTTTCTAATCTGGTTATCCAACCATTCTGCCGGCAACTTTTCTCATCGTTTGACTTGACTAAGACCCATCATCGCGTAGACTGCGTGCTGGCAGTCCTAGAAAGAATTACCATAACGAGATTCTGTTGCAGTGTTAAGGCGTATATGACCTAACGGACCGAAACGTCTTGTCTCATTCTTAATTCCTGATACTATTTTTGATTGCAGTCTTCCACTTTTTACCATTTAAGCATCCAGCGCTGATCCAGTTGCCGCGCTCTACTTACCAGCTCAGTTCAGCTGTTTCTTAGTTTTAATTTTATATATTACACTGCAGCTCCGCCTTGAGCGGATTCGCGGTACGCACTACTCTACAGCAGCAACAACAACAACAGCAACCGCAGATCCAGGTGCACGTGGAACCTAGTCGAATTGTTATGCAACGACCCGGAGAATGTAATTTCAATGTATTCTATGAGCTATGTGCTGGATTAGATGCAAGCGAGAAGCGCAAGCTCGGGCTGAAGAGTACTGCGGCTGCGGCGGCTATAGACCAACAATATTTCTACCTGAATCAGGTTTGATTAGAAAGTTAGGTACTTTATGCGGTCGGGCTCGGGTCGCACAAATAAGTATGGAAACGACATGAACCCCAGCAAAAACGCTAATGGTACTTTTTCATAGTCACAATTTTGGGGCTAATCATCGTTGAGAAAAGAAATAATGTACTTAATATTAATGTTCAATATACCACACACACTTAATACTACTAACTTAACACAAGTACTTAATATCACTTCTCATCTTTTTTTGCAGGGCAAGGTTCCATCAAATGAAGCAGTAGAGCGCCGAAAATTCGAGCAGCTCTGCAGTGCGCTGCAGTTGCTAGGCATCAGTGAACATCAGCAAAACTTCATGCATCGAATTCTTGCTACCATACTGCATATTGGCAATCTTTTCTTCAAGCCTACCAAGGTAATTAATGATCAGGTCATCCGGGAAGAAATACCGCAATTTGTTTCTGCTGTTGTTCAGTTCGCCCTATGGCATCTCATTATGCCGTTTTGCAAGGTTTTCACTCATCAGAAGGAATGTACTAGGAATTAACCGTGTTGAATTTTCTGAGTATACTTGAAATCTCTTGCTCAGGACGCACCAAAACTACATTTGAAAACGGCCAAGAATCTTTCAGTGCGAAAATCACCAAATTTAATCTACCTTTCGATGTGATACGTCTGCAAAAAATCACCCCGCGCGCTTACGCTCTTCCACCTAAGCTGTAGAACTTGGCGTATTTACCATCTCATGCATGTATGCGATTCAGTTTAGAAGCAGACCTAACAGTCGTTCATCTTCTCGGGGATATAATTCTGAAGGTCACCGGTACTCGAAAAACAAGCAGTATGCCTCTGTCATCAAAATTCACTTTCTTTTCCTCTGCAATGATAGCCGAACCATCTGACAAAGCGCTTGGTTGTCTTTGCACTCACGAAAAAAAAAATTCTGGGCATGCTCATAACGGCACCGCTTTTTCCGCGACCTTTTTCCGCGACTTCTTCCTTTCCCGCTTTCTTCAATCACATGGCGTTCTGTAATTTTCACTTTTTTGGAATCAGTTTGGATAGCTGTTCGACTCCTTAGTGAGACTATTCATTTCTTTCGACGACAAATTGGTACTGACATACGCCAGAAAGTCAACCACGCCATCAGCTTGCTTTTAAACAGTTCTCGAAAGAGGTTGTTATCAAAAGCCTTATCAGCAATTGGTTGCTATTGGCAATTGCTACTACTTTGATTATTTCCGAGTACCTCTGCCTCCCACAGAAAGCGAAGAGTGATCGGTTTTGACTTTCTTCAAAGAGGATGTTTTTATTACGGCGTGCAAAATTTGTTATGAATGTTTTGACTTTAGCCTTCAAATGATTTTAATTCCGACGTGGTTTTGGTTTTCAAATCCGCTTCCTCGCGCCACCCGATCACAGCAGCCTGACTAATGTGCTAGCTTAAGTGCATTAAATAATTTGTGAAAGGATTTTTTGATTTTGCAATATTTTCGCATCCCCAAAATGCGATAAGCGCTAAAAGCCTTTTACAGAGAGTCGAATACGATAGCACAAATAATGCGCCTTCAAGTACTACGGTTGGCGTTGAAATTGCAAACGAAGGGGAGCTGAAGTGGTGTGCTTATTTGCTGGAAGTGCAGCTCGAATCGCTCCATCGACTGTTCACGAAGAAGCAAGTGGTTGGTACTTAAGTGTTTGAGGATGTCGGATAAAATATGGGAGCATTTGTCAAGTCTGTACTTATAATCTTCTATTAACAAAAAAAAAAAACACAGTATCGGAGGCCTAGTTACCATATGAATTACTTACTGAACTAGAGAGGAAGATATATCAATTATTACTTTAAAATTAATAATATAGCTAGTCCAGTAGTTAAAGTTCAGTTTGTGAAATGAGTATCAACGCCCTGTGATGATCGGATGAACTAACAAAGGAATGAACAAATTCCTGCAACAAAAATAGAAC